AAGAGAATTCCAGGAAGCAGGAATGTCAGGTGCAAAGACCTTGAGGTAGAAGCAGAGTGGTGTGAGGATTAATTAGAGAGTACTCTCCTGCTTTGGTCAAAATTGACGTGATAGACACCATAGACACCTAGTGCAGTGGATTCTGGTGGTGCTGCTCCCAGATGCTGGGACCCCTTAGGTTCTGATGTGCCCCTTCTCCACTGCTAATGTGGGTTAACTGACCAGGCTTGCGACTGAAACACTTAGAGACTGTCTGTAGCTGGATTACTGCAGCTGCTGTGCCCGCACAGGCTGGGATCAGGAAGTATCTGAGGGGCTGCACTCTCCCTCCTGCACACAGCAGCCCTGACCCAGTAGTTGGAGGATGTGGGGGTATGAAACCCCAGCCCCTGTGACCGCAACTGGGGTGAGGCAGGAGAATAGGGTCTGGAGACAGGAAGCCTAAGGCCCACCGGCCACTGACTTCTTGGAATTGGACCAAAAGGAAAACTCCACCTCCCCATGCCCATGTGGGGGGGGGGGGGGGCGCGGGCAGAGGCCCCTCCCTCTACAAACCCCCTCTCCCTTCCATCACACATGGAAAATGCCTCCGATTGGTTGGAGGCCAAGCCTTCACTTCAGCTTGATTGGTCACAGGCCAATTTTTCATTAGTATAAGGTGTAACCAGTGGGAGGCCTCACCTCTATTGGAGGCCTCTAAAGGGTACCTAGGGGTTTACCAAATTCTGCTAGTTTAATAAAAACCTTAAAGAACATTGCAACTGGGGCTCTTGAGCTGCCTGCTCGATCCTGCTCCCACTCTGTGGAGTGTACTTTTGCTCAATAAATTTGTGCTTTCGTTGCTTCATTCTGTTGTTGCTTTGTTTGTGCATTTTGTTCAATTTTATGTCCAATGTGCTAAGAACCTGGATGACTCAGTCAAGACCTTCTTTCTTGTAACAGCGGCAAACTCAGGGTATCATTCGGACTTAGAGAACCATAGAGATCACACTGAGGCTGAGATTTAGCCAGAAATCATACCCTGGGTTGTCTCTTTCTCCTTTCCTTCCTAGCTTTTTCTGAAAGCACTTTCTTGAAAAATCAAGTGTCCCTGAACTCCTACTTTAGGGTCTGTTTTTAAGATTTAAAAAAGTCTTTAGTCTAAGGACTTAACACCACCTGCTATAGGTTTTTACAATTGTTTTTCTTTTTAAGAAAATATTTTTTTCTGTGGTACTAGGTAAGAACGTGTGCCATGAAGTTGGGTACACTCAGGTTCAAATGTCACTGCCATTCAGTCACAGCCACCCTTGGTCAGGTTACCTGCTCTCTCTGAGCCTCAGTTTCCTCAATTCCAAAAGTGGGACAAAGACAGTACCAGCTTTATGGCTGCCGTGAAGGTGAAAGAAGACAGGCCACAGGCTTAACAGAAGGATGGAAAAACAGTAAACACTCAGATTTACCTATGACTATTAAACCTTTCTAAACTTCATCAGAGAGTTCCAAAAAAAATGTTGTCAAGCCTTGGGATAAACATCCGTCACATTCCTTTGAAAAGTGTATGCTATCACTGGAATTTGGCCGGGGACAGAGGAGAGAGGAGGTAGAGAAATAGCCATTCTAGGTACCAATCATGTGCACCCTCTCATTTAATTCTGACAAGCACCCAGCTAGACTAGAAGGTTCTATTATAATTATTAAAGATAGGAACCTAACACTCAAAGAGGCTAAGTTGTCTGAGGAGACGTGGTGTTGAAGGGGTTAAAATACGCTATTCTGGCATCTTGACTAAGTTCAGCACTTGGAAATCAGCAGGTGCAACAAGGTCACTTTGATCTTCTTGCTGTTTCTTAAAAGCAGAGAACGAAATTCCCATGTGAAAGATGCCTTTCCTAGACAATGCAACATTTTCATAGTCACAGTCGAAACCGGGAGAATTCTGTACAGATCTTGTTAAAAATAACTCTTATCTTTTAAGCCCCTCCAAATAATTTGGTGGCTTCTTTGCAACTAACTCTTCTTTGTCCAATCCACTATATAAGTAACTGACTTTAGGGTCTTCATTTCTTTATGAGGGCTCCTGTGCTTTGGGAAACTTGTATTAAGTTTTTCTCCTGTTAATCTATCTTATGGGGATTAAATTCTTGGACACAGCCGGGACCCTGAGAGGATGGAGATAGACTTTTCCCACCCCTCCAGTGTGTATATATCAGGGTTCCAAGCCAGGTTGTCTGGACAGAGGAACCCAATTCTCTTGAGGGGGGAGGGCTGTTTTTGCTTGTAGGCCCTTGCCCCATAGAAGGGGCTTGGCATCACAGTTATTTTAGGAGAATGTCCAGTCTCAGCTGAAATGACTCCTGCCATGCCCAGCTACTAAATGATGAAGATTCTTCCCAGGTTCATAACTCCACTTGTCCTTAGGCCCGTGGCGCAGCTGAGCCCCTCTGGGATCATATCACAGTCACTGTAACTGCAATCTCCACTCTAACAGAGCTCCCAGAGCAGAGACCCCTGCCTGATGTCACTCTGGCCTGCCAGGATCCCCGTACTTTTAAGTTAGATGCAGTTTCATTCCTGGTGGTGTCACACCTACAGGCAAATCAGATCCCAGAATGAACAAAGCTGACAGCCTGCTCCATGGGGCATACCACCCCAGGTGCAGATTATAGACAGGGAAGGAGGGAGGAGTTTAGCTGAAAACCCCTTCCTGACCCCTTTCCACTAAGTACTCAGGGGCAGCAAAACATCCAGGAACTTTGAGTTCTGGGTCAGCTGGGACAGCTGTAGGGACAGCGTCCTGTTCCTGCCTTCCCTAAGTTTTCTATTAGGTGTCACCAAACACATTCTTACCCAAAGAAACCATTATATAGGACCTTACTGAAAAGGTTGAAATATGCATTCTGGGTTGGTCCCTATTTAAGTGAAAGGCACTTGAAAACCAGCAGATGCAAGATCACTCTGACCCTGTGCGAGACTCTTCCCATACGGGAAGGGAAAACAGCATCCTACTCCTTAGGTCAGGAACTGCACAAGCCTCGTTAGAGTCACTCTTTTTAGTCACGTTTTCAAAGTTTATTCTTCTTTGTTCCATCCAGTATTTAAGTGGTGCATGCTAGCGTCTTGCTCGGGTCTGCGTTTCTTTATGAGGGCTCCCACGCGGCCTGAAGCTTGCAGTATGCTTTTCCTATTCCTCTATCTTGTGTCAATTTAATTCTCGGACGCAGCCGGGACCCCCAGAGGATGGAGGTGGAGTTCTTCTGCCCTTAGGCTGCAAACAATCTTTCAAAAGCAGGGGCACGCTTCAAAACTTTCCAAGAGACCTTTTAGGTCTTAGGGCAATGGAACCTTGTTTTCTTAAAAAGCCCTGCTTGCTTACCCTCTCGTTTTCCCCCAGGACTGTTTTCTGGGACAGGGTGGAGGCCCAAGGAGACTGCAAAGTTCAGGCCGCAAGCACCCAGCCCCCACTCCAGCCTGTGAGCCTGACCAGGGTTCCCGACCCACCCCATCCCCCGCCGGCGCTGGGTCCGCCCCTCCCCGTGGAAGCCTCGTGCCGCCCCGCCCGGAGGATCTAGGGGACGTCGGAGGGCGAGGGCGGTGACCCCGGGGCCAGAATCCTCGCAGGCGCGAGTGCGGAACAGGTCTGGGCGCGGGGCCGTGTGTGGGTGCGGGGCTGGGTGCGGGCCGGGGGTGAGTGCGGGACCCGCCTGGGTGAGGGCCGGGGGTGGACGCGGGCCCTGGGCCATGTGTGGGTGCGGGCTGGGTGCGGACCGTATGTGGGCGCAGGGCCGTGGGTGGGTGCGGGGCCGTGGGTGGGTGCGGGGCCGTGTGTGGGTGCGGGGCTGGGTGTGGGTCGTGGGTGAGTGCGGGACCCGCCTGGGTGCGGGCCGGGGGTGGAGGCGGGCCCTGGGCCGTGTGTGGGTGCGGGCTGGGTGCGGGCCGTATGTGGGTGCGGGGATGGGTGTGCGGCTGGGCGCGGGGCCGTGTGTGGGTGCGGGGCTGTGGGTGGGCGCGGGGCCGGGCCTGGCGGGGCAGGCGCAGGCTGCTGCAAGGCGGCCTCGTGGATTCTGTCCCCGGACGCACGAAGTGGATTCTACTTAAAAAAAAAAACAAAAAAACAAAAACAACTGCGTTGCGTTTTCCTTCCCTCCACCTTAGCAACTGCGTCCTGTCCGAGGCCCCCGTTCATACGGCCTTTCCTCCAGCGAGCGCACACTCAGCTCAGAGCGTTTCTGAGTTTCCAGCGTGCGCGCAAGCGGGGCGCGTTCCCTGAAGGACAGGCCCCGAGTCACAGCCGCGGCCGCCGAGGGCGGAAACCGAGCTGCAGTGCTCAGGGGATCCCCGTAGATTTCCAGCAGGCTCAGACACAGGGTCCCCCACACGAAGAAAACAGGTCAAAAAAAGCCAGGACACGTGTGCTGTGGAGGGTCGAGGTCTCGCCTGGGTCTTGGGTGTGGGTAGACGCAGCCGCTCGCAGTTTTCCTTTCCAGCATCTCTGGGGAGCCTGGAGATGTGCTTGGTGCCGAGGTGACACGGAGAGTGATTGCGCCGCCCTACAGAGGCAGTGGCGGGACGCTGCGCTGGGGCTGGGAAGGGCCGGGCCAGGGCTACCCCTCCGCAGGCCCCGGGAGAGCAGGTGTGCGCTTCGCCTCCCGCCGGGCAGCAGTTCAGGAGAAAAATGTGCGGCTTTTATCTAAACAAAATATTTCTTTTGTAAAGGGCTTTCTCCACAAAGACTCTGTAGCCACGTCAGGCTTTGACCTCCCAGTCCCCCAGATTCAGCCTTGGGACTCAGCGGCTGCTGTTATTTTTAGTGGAAGTATAAAAAGAATCTCAAAAAGTTTTAGCTCTGGAGAAAGCGTGAATGCAGCTGGCGCATTCACACAGGCCACTTGAGCCGCCCGTAAGGAACTCCAGGAGATCAGAAAGCAATACAAAAGCCAGAGCGTTGCATGTGAGGACGGGTTGGCGGGTGGCCTTTGGGTCCCTGCCTTATGGGTGATTTTCGTAAATGGCGCATTAGAGATGAGTATCGCCTAGATCACATTTTTAGGTTGAATTCCCCCATGGAGGGAACTTTAGCAATACACTTCCAAATAAGAATGTACATTTCAACAATTGTAGTAAAGTGTTTGCCAGCCTCATCTCAGAAAAAGGCATTTATTATCTTCCTAATGTGTGTCTGGCACGGGGCAGACACTGTAGAATACTATCTTGATTACAGCCTCAAGGATTTTGTAGCTAAAGTCCTTTACAAATAAAAGTATTCAAGTATAATCTATTATAAAGACTCTTTCCCCCACTTTGGGGATATACGGTGTGATCGATTCGTTGATCATACCAAAACTGTTACTTCTGTTTTGGAGGAATTAACACAGAAATCCCAGGCTTAGTAAATCAACACTGAAGTTCAGAAGTTCAGAGTAGTTTGTCTTGGGAACAAAGTCCTCCCTAGAACGAAGAGGCATTTAGAGGAATTCCTGGTGTTAATGGGATTATTCAAGATATACCTGAGACCAGATAAATATTTGATGATTTTGCAAAGCACTAGGGTTTCTTTGCAGTTCTTCTTGGGCTGACGTTTTCCCCCATGGGGTCTGGACTTTGTGACTTCATCAGATTTTGCAAATGAAGGAAGGCTGGGGTTTCCCAAGAGTGCGCTTGTGCAGGAAACAACAGACTAGTGAGGTTTACAAGAGGTGTGCGTGTGTGTGTGTGCGCGCGCGCGCGCACGCCTGCCTGTGGGATGGGGGTGGCACGGAGAGAGATGTGGGTTGCAAAGCTGCCATCTAGAGGCCAGAGGCGCCTTCCTGCAGTGTATATAACGCAAGTCTGCAGCCCGCAGAACTCACAGTCTTTGCAAACTGCTCAGCGCTAAGGGAGCCAGCGCACAGCGCAGGCAGGAAGGCAAGCGAGCCCAGCCAGCCCAGCCAGCCCCGAGGTAAGGAAGCGGCGCTAGGGCAGCAGCCTTGGGAAGAAGGCATGGCTTCTGCTCTTAAGCCAAGTGGTCTTTTTCAAAGGACTTTTTAAAAATCGCGTAGATGGGTGCTTTTGAGTCTGTGGGTCTGGTTTCTGAAAACCCAGACACGTAGCTCCATTGCAAAGTGCTTCTGCTAATTCGGAGGGCTTCCCCTTTCGCTTCAGAAAGCAAGGGGCAGTATTCTTAAGTCACTTGCAGAAGGAAATTTCCGTGTGTGTTAGGAATCTGGTGTTTATTTGCTGTGTGGCTATTTAAGCTCCAGTAGGCAGGGGAACTTCGCAAGAACAGAGTATCCATTCTGCCTCCCCAATTTGGCACGGGGATTAGCTTGGCACCACAGTTTACCTGTTTTGCTTCCAGTATATTAGTTTGGAAACAGATGAATTTGGCAGTAAATACGTAATTCCAGAACGATGAACACTTTATTAAGAGGCATCCTTAAATGAAGCAGAAAACTGCTGAGAATCATTGTGAGTCCAAGATACATTTGAATTCAGTACTTTGGGGGATTTACCAGAGCCTGTAAGTCCGGAAGCTACAAACATGAATGTTAAATATGGCCCGGTCTCTCCTCTGTTCACGGCATGCATGGTGATCTAATTTGAGTATTCTCTTAGAAGGTGTTAAGTCCAACTTCAATTGGGGGAAAGAAAAGCACACACGCAAGTCTACTGTTTTGCAATTTAAATATACTCTTCAGGTAAAATGTGGATTTTGTTCCATTTTGTTGGGATGTGCAAAGGCTGAAGGAGTGACTGAGAGTTAGAACTTCGGAGTGAGGTCAGGGATGGATGCTTAGCCAGGACTTGTAACTTCCAGAGAGAATGAGAAGTTGTAAAAGGCAGACTGGCTGTCTCTCTTTCTCTCTTCCTCTTTCTTTCTTTCTTTCCTTTTGCTCACAACAAGATTACTTAGTTTTTCAAAAGTGGGAGAGAGCCTCCTCAAATGGTTTACAGCCCTTTGAAGATATTTGGTACAGTGACATCCCCTGAAACTTCGGTCTGAAAAGTCTCAACGTGGAAACTTTTCCCTTTTCTTTTTAAAGGCAGATGCTGCCTTTGTGTCACTTTATTTATTCCAGGAAAATTGTGGACGTCAGAGAGGCACGCCTAGCAAAGAAAGTGGAGGCTGCTGATTTCTGTGTTTTAACTTTCCATAGATTTTAAATGGATAAACTGCCTGTCTTTCTTTCATCAGAATACGAGCTTTCCCCAGATGGAAAGCCTTTTTCTAAAGCAAAGTTGCACATGGGAGCTCTAGCTTGAAAACAATTTGCTCTTTTTTCTCCAGTCTCTGCCATAAACACTTGAATGTGCACACAACTGCAGAGCTTAATGCCATAACCTCCAGGAGATTGGGGGGAGGGGGAGAGCTGCCCAGGATGGGGGTGGAAAAGCAAAGGAAAATGGAGAATTGGCTGTGGTTTGCTGCCCATCAGTTTTTTTTTTTTTTTTTTTTTTTAACTTTTAGGGGGCATGTGCTGCAGTTGTAGTTTTAAAAAAGTTCCATAAAGTGTCACCAAGGCAGCATGCTTGTACGACACAGAGGCTGGACTCGGGGTGTGTTTCCCCCGTATTAACAGCAAGTTGTTGAGGAGTTGAGAAGGTATTATGATTTCTAATCAGGCCCAGAACAGGCCAAGGATAGGCTTTCTGAATGAAAAAACAAAAAAACAAAAAACCCCAAACAAAAAACCCTACTTAGTCAGGAACAGTGGCTTTTTGTGTGATCATTTTAGGGAGAGAGCTCCTGTTTTCAAGTTGACCTGAAGGATATTGGTTGAAGTTACTCAAACCTGAGGCTGAAGGGCAGTCACTTTATAAACCTTAAGAACAACTGAGGGGAAAGAAAAAGGCCTCAAAGATTTCAGACCTTTGGATTTTTTTCAGTGATTTTGTAGAACATGAATGGAATTTGGGGCCAGGAGGCATCTGCACCTTTAAACCAGGCAACCAAGGAACTTGGTTTTACTCTTAGGAGCGAGAACAGTCTTCAGATGCCTTCAATTGGATTGCACGTGTGCGGGTATAAGTTAGAAAGAAACTAAAGATTGTGTGATGTCAAGTGTTATTAAAGTCCAGGAAAGAACAGACATAGCCCTAGGACACATATTTTCTATTAAAAGGAAAGCAAGCAAGCCAGAAATAGACAGATCATGACAGAAAGGGGTGGAGGGGGTGTCCCTGATTTTGAATACTTGATGGTTTCCTGCAGGGAATAGTTGATGCTTTTATCTACTAATTTGGATTAAAAAAATTATTGCTTTGGTATTAAAGTGATCAGGGAATTGCATAATTTTATGGTGATAATTTTAAAGAGCCACAAGTAGTTTTGGAAGCAGACTATGTTTTGCTCCAGGCAATGAAAGAGTGGAGGGGGGCTGAGACTATCTCAGGTGGCCTTGAACCACTGCTGGCAAAGGGACAGATAACGAGGCCAGGGCAGCGTGGGGAACTTTGCGTTGTGAAGGCTGGGTCAGCCAGATAACAAGCATCTTCTGCTTTTCCTACTATGGCAGATATGTGGCTGTCCTCCCTCAATTGTATATGCAGAGCCTAAGGTTACAGAGTCCTCCTGGGAACCCCATTGTGTCTGGCTGAGGGCGGGGGTAAGGAGGCTCTCCTAGCCTGGCTGACCTCCCACTGCCTTGTCCTCATCCTAAGCCGGGTGGGAATCAGGGCTCTGATTACACTGGGCCAGGCCAGACGGCAGCCTTTGTTATTTGGGAATCTCTGGACCTGCTCTTGTGGGTTCAGCTTTGCTTCCCTGTCGGGCAGCTGAGCACAATAGACCAGTTCAGGTTTCTGGACGTGGGATTTATTTGATCCACCAAATCCTTAAAGTGGAAGAGGATGTCCCATGTGTTCGTGTGAAGTATGTCTAAGGACCCTGAGAAGAGGCGGCCTGTATCTGAATCAGGGTATAGAGTCTTCTGCAGTTATTATTTTTTGAGTTCTCAAGTAATTCAAAGCAGGTATGTACTTCCATGAAATACGATCACTCCTGGTCACTGGTGAATGTGTAGTTGAGACTGTTTTCCATTTGCTGGCAGCAAAGGGGACAGACAGCCCCCCATTCTGCTATTAGCCCTAGGAGAGAGTCAGAGAGAGTCAGCCTGGGCTGAAGCTTCCCTGGCCTTCTCCCCTAGGTTGCTTGGTTGGCTTCCCCGTAGATTCAATGTAGCATTGGTTAAAAACACACAGACACACAGACACACACACACACACCCCACACTCAATGATGTGCAGTTGCCTAATGGTTCTTCAGGGGTTGTGTGGATTCTCCTGATCTAAATTGAATGCTCAGCATAAGCGGGGGCTGGCCTGGTGGAAGAGGTGGTGTCTGCTCAAAGAGACCAGAGCGTGAGCTTTCGCACCATGATTCCCACTGGAGATTCTCTGGAGATGGTGGAAGGGGGAGAGAACTCTATTCTTAGCCATAAACCCGTGATAATCCAATCTCTTCAGCTTGCCTGGCCCCAGTTTCCAGGTGTGCAAACAGTGAGAGCCACTGTCCCAGCTCTTGTCTGGGACAATATGGAGTTTCTTCATGAAATTCCCCTATGGGACACAGGTCTCATATGGCAGAAAGCCAGTGAAGGAGGCAGAGGTCCTACAGGGCGCAGAGGGCCAGAGGGCCCCTCGTTTTGGAGCTGGCACCCAGGCCTGGCCTGAGTTACCTTATCTGTACCACTGTAGAGGATGACGTGCGTGCTGCAGCCTGGACTGCTCCCCACTGCAAAGTCTGTGGGGTTCCTATCACCTCCATTCTCAAAGCCTCTTCTGCCCCAGAGCCTGGCCTTGCTCTAGACCTTCCAGACTCCTGCATGGACAAGCCCACACCACACTTTCTTGCCCACCCTTCAAGGCCCAATCTTACCTCCATCTGCCCTTTGTGGAGAGTCCTTGCCTCAGCCAGGCTGGGTAACTCCATCTACGGCTGCCTTCCTGGAACATCCTTGATTGCCCCTACCTCCTTGAAGGCTCCCATAACCCCCCAGAGTGGAAACCCCTCATCTTCCTGCCAAAGGGGCAGGCGCCACCGTGCTCAAGTCTTGGATGTGATGGGCCTGGGTGCTTCCCAATTAGCTGGAGGGGTCTCGGGGGTTGAGGGGAGATGTTTCTGGATTGTCATCCTCACGCTCCCCAGAGCAGTGCCCCCTCGAACAAGAGGCTCTCCGCCAACACCAGCTCGGTGGCGATTTCAGAAAAATCTCTCCTGGATGCCTGTGTCCGCTGCTGGCCACAGTCGCTGGTCTCAGAGGGGCATGATTAACTGCTGGTTCACTGAGCACCTACTATGTGCTGTAGCTGGATAGCTGTATAGCTGTAGCTATACAAAGTTACAGAAGACTTGGTGGGGGGTATGGAGCTTGGCAGGAACAGGCAGAGGGGGAAGAAACCTGAACAACTCGATGGTACAAAAGATATCCCATAGTAGAGATGTGCAGTGTTGGGCCAGGAGAATGTGGGAGCGTCAGAAGGGCAGAGGACATCAGTTGGGAAGAGTCTGTGGTTGGAGACTGCAAACATGCGGAAGGCAGTTTGGGGAACACTGGCGGGGTGCCTGAACACATGGCGTTCTCTGGAAGGAACTAACCAGCTTGAGGACGTGCTGATTGCATACTCAGCCACCATCCACGGAGGCTGTAAACCTGAGTACCTCTAATTCTGGCTTCACCCCCAGCTTGTAGAGTGAGCCCAGGCAGACCGTTTGGATGCAGCTAAATACCCCTGGCTGCTTGCTGCAGCACAGTCGTCGTCAAGGATACTTGGTTGATGAATAAAACATCTCAGAAAAGTGAGGTGCATCTCCTGGAAAAGTCCTGCAATTGACAAGAGGAGCCCTAGTACCATCTCGGCTGTGAGTGACACGGAGTCCCTTTGCAGGCCACAGGCTAGCAAGGATGGAGGGCTAGACAGATGCTTGCCCACTGCCAGCCACAGAAAAGCTTTCTTTCCGTCACTGCAACGTGCAACAAGGCCACTGCAAAGGGGACCCCTGTGTGAAGGAATGCATACGATAAAACAGAGCAAGCGCTGGGATAAAGGGAATGAAAACGGACGTTCACGGCTTTTCCTTCTCCCTTGGGTCTCCGTGGTCCAGGAAATGGAACAGGAACCTTGATTGTTCTGTGGACCGTTCCTCCCTCTATTAAAATTTACATAGTTCTTGATGTCAAATTTCAAATCACACAGAAGTTTATAGGGCCAAAACTACAAGCCTCCTTTTGTTCCCTCCTCCTTCCCTCCCGGCCCCGAGTTTTATACTTACCGCAGGTCTTTTTCTGTGCCTTCGTGCACATGTATTTACATACAGAAATACACAAATGTAATTTTTGTGTTTCCTTCTGCACAGCTGGGATTGTGCGGTGTGTGTGTGTCTGCACGTTGTCTTTCACTGAACGGCATGTTATAACTCTCCCTGTGGATGAAGGGAGGCCCCCCCTCACAGCTGTATTATATTCCAGACAGGAGAGACACGAGGCTTTACGGAGTCATGCCTCTATTGAGAGGCATTTACGTCATCTTCACTGATTGCTAGTAAATAAATACTGCTTTAAGAAACATCGATTTGTATCATCATCATCGAACTGGAAAGAAACATCTTCTGTTCTGTGCCCCCCGCCTCCTTTCTTCCACCACCTGGAATCTTTTATGCAGAAACCTTAAAACCTAAGTCAGAAGTGAGTCGCATTCCCCTGCCCGCCCTGATGTGGGCATTGAGGCCATAGACACGCAGGCAATGGGCAGGTTCGATTCACACCCAGACATGCTTCTTAGACCCTGGCCTCAAGCTGGAATGGAATTGCTGGTTGATTCCAGCAGAGGGTGACTGGTCTCAGTGGAATGAGGATGTCTCCTTCAGGCCCTGTGGTTATCTGCCGTCCCAGCTTCCCAGCATAAACAGACCTGGGCACAAGCTGAGAGGCATTAAGAATGTAGACAAGGACCCAAGGGCTGGCCCATCGAGATTTGTGCGGAATGCAGTCAGCTCTTTCTGTATGGGATGAGGTAATCCCCTGCTTTTGCTTGAGGGGAGCTGTGATTCCTGTGCAGGGCCCTCCGGGGGTTCATTAGAGGCCTCCCTCCCACTCTGCACTTTCAGATTTGCAGAGAGCTTTGTCATCAGGCCTTTGGGAACCAGGGGCCCGGGGTACACATTTCATAGTTTGCCCTCCGAAGCTTTTGTTCCTATCAGGCATTCTGAGAGAGTCACTTGTTAAGATGTAAGCAGGTAATTTAGGAGGATTCTTTGCTCCAATGGCGGACACATACCAGCAGTGAATGGTGCTCCGTGAATGTGGGCCCTGCCCACCCTAGATGTCCTGCACGCAGGCTGGGGTGGCTGGAGCCTTTGTCAAAGACCGCATTCCATGTTACGTGGCAGTTCCCTGTTTTGAATAAGGGGATTGTCGTTGTCAAATAATAATCTGTTTTCTGGAAACAGCCCTTGTTTGTTTCTGAAACCTAAAGCATGAAACATGCCGAAATGACAAAAGGCTGAGCTATTGTATGACATTTTTTTTTGTTGTTGTTGTTATCTTCAGCTTCCATTTAAATTTGCAGAGGACCTGATGACTGCACTGTCTGCTTAGACTTTCTCATCTCTGTACTTTCCTTCCTTTCTCTGGCCCATGGAGCCTTTTGTGGTGGGAAGGGAGAGGCCGTCCAGGCCCCTAGAGGAAAGCAGGTGATCAGGGCGTGGGCCTCCAGTTTCTTTTCCTGGCTGGTCTCCATGTGGGGTGCTGTTCCTTGGGCGGACTGGTGGTTAATGATTGAGGATCAGTGGTCAGAGACTGATGATCGGGGAGCGGTGATTGGTGGGGCAGTGAGGAGCTCCAGCCTCTGCTTTCTCATTCAGACCTTGGGTAGCAACAGCCATGCCCTTGTTGGAAGTTTCCCACTGTACCACCCGGGAGGGGAGAGGTGAGGACAGAGGCGAGGACAGCTGAGCAGGGAAGTGCCTGTCTCAGAAATAGTTTCTGACTCGGAGGACCAATGGTCCCTAAGTCAAATTTTCTTCTCCCAAGGGGGCAGAGGTAGAAACGTAAGGGCTGGATGGGGGTCCCTGAGCCCTTCTCTACCTCTCGGCCCCACTCTGGGCTCTGAGAATACCAAAGGCTGGTAGCTCAAGGTGGGTGAGTGTCTGTTTTGTGCTAAGAGTGGAGGACCTGGAAGGAAGGACACACTTGAGGTGTGAGAACCAGGTGTCTTCTCACTGAGTGACCCTGCGTCCTGCAGGGGCCTGTCTGTCCCGAGCAGTGGCCACGTGCCTGGCCATCCGGCCCCTGCCATGTCTCCGAGCCACAGGAATGTCTCCAAGGCCGGGGAGAGAGGTGGGTGGGTTTGGGATCCAAGTTCAGGCAAACAAAGACTGAGGGTCATTTCTTTCTTTGCGGCTCTTGTGAATGGCCCAAACCCCAGGATTTATGGCAGTTTCTGCTGAGGCTGGTGGCTGTGCCAGTGGGGACAGAGCAGGGAGCCCACGCCAGGCACCAGCTGAGCTGCCCTGTGGACCCAGCTGCTGTCCCTGCTGCTGTCCAGCTGTGAGACCATCCTCCATTCAAGCTCCTCTGCTCCCCCAGGACTCCAATGAGATCACGGGGTGAAAATAGTTTATGAACCAAGCGACGATGCAAATGAGTTTCATTTTAAGGAAATGGGAAAAAGGAACAAGGGTCATTGCAGTGGAGCCATGCGGGAAAGCGAAGGTGAAATTCTTGTCTCCTGGAATCACAGGGTGGAGAGTGGAGCGTCGGCTCTGGGTCATTTGGTGGCCAAGGGAAGGTGGCAACAGTAGCTTCAAGGCACAGCCTGGGGCTGGCTGTCCACCCTGGGGGCAGTCTGGCAGGTCAGGGTGTCCTCGGCTGCCTGCTGGGGCTACGTCCTTTTGGAGTTCTAGAGTCGCGTCTTAGGACAGGTGTGCTGAGCCTCCTGCTTTGGGTTTCTGTCCTGACCTTGACCTTGCTCACTTCCACGGGCATGCCCCCCATGCTTGGACATCAGGGTTTGTGATAAGTTGATGGTCACAGGGCTTGATTCCTCCTAGCGGGTGACTCTGAGGACGGCCAGGCCTCCCGCTGCATGAGCAGTGCAGTTCCCTCCACAAAGGGCTTTCAGAGTGGGCAGGTGATGTGGCTGTCATGGGAGGCCCAGCTCTCTCTGTTGGCCGTGGAGGACACTGAGCCAGGTTGGGTCACCAGGAGGGGACCCCACGGTCATTTACATCTTGCAGAGGGAAATGCCCAGAAGCCTGCAGCAGCCCCCGCTCTGCAGGGTCCAAGCGAGGTCCTCTGCCTCAAGTGTTGAGGCCACCAAGCCGAGGCAGTGAAATCTCTCACTTTTCAGGGATTCTGTCATGTTGCCCCAAAGGAGAAACCCATCAAACAGCCCAGGCTCTGTGTGGGCTTGTGAGTCTCCCTCCACTGGGAATATTTATTGCTTAGCCAGTAAGAGCCGCTTTTCAAGGGGCACAAAGTTAAACAAGGTTCTGCTTTTTGCAGAAGGGAAAAACCGGTCCCCTTAGGCGGGAGAGTCCCCAGGGTTCTTTCTTCCTGGCCAGGGAGGGAGAAGGGGGTGACGTTTTATTGAGCATCTGTTCGGGCCAAGCTCTGAATTAGGCCCTTTCTTCTCACCTTCTGTGAGACAGGTGCTGTCGTCCTGGGGAGGCAGACACAGACAGATTAACTCTGAAGTTAAACGCTAATTAATAGAGGAGCCAGAGTTCCAACCCAGGAATGTCCGATCTTGGAGCGGGCGGCTTCTCAGCTGTGGCTTCGCATGCCAACAATGTCACTGTCCACAGTGCACCCTTGGGCTGATGTTTTCACTTTACCTGCCCCCCACAATCATGTAGTGGGGTTTGGGCAGGGCTAATTGTTGACCCAGGACCATGGCCTGGAGGGATTTCAGGGCCTTCCTTGGGATGGACTGACAGTAGACAGCCTGTCAGTCTATCTGGAGAAATCGCTGCCTGATGGCCGTGGTGCTCTGTGGCTGAATTCTGGCTGGGAGTTAAATGGTGATGGAGCGTTGGCCTCACCTCAGGTCAGCAGGGGAAACAGATGGGAAAATCGTCAGCCCTCCTGAAACGCAGCAGGTGGTGATGTTTGTGCTTTGGGTCTCCGCACACTTTGCTCTTGAAGCAGTTGAACAAATAAAGGAATGGAAAAATAGGTGCTGACCCAGAGCTTGAGACAGCTGGTTGGCTGCCCTTCATTGAAAACTACCACACGGCCAGCTCAGAGTCTTCAGGTTTGGGGCGCAGATAAGCTGTGGGGCACCCTGCCCAGGCTCACTGTGTTTGCAGAAGCTTTATGACTGCACGCTGCGGCCGCCTGACACCCAGGTTGGCACGTGAATTTAGCAGAAAGGTAAAAAGTGCTGAGTCACATTTTAAATGCGAATTTGGAGGAGGATTCGAAATGCTTTCATTAAGACACCAAAGCAGGACACTTGTAACGCAGCAGTGCCAGGAGCGGACAACACTGCCATTCTTTGGGGACTTAGATAAAACAGCTCCACTGTCCCCTGCTGAAAGTGAGCGGGCCATCATCTCCATGGCCGGGGCTCAGCCACCTGACGTTTCTTTGGCCCCGTACTGTGTTGATTTCACACCCTGGGCACGGCCAGGCTGACGGTGTCTTGAGAACACAGCCATAAAAAAATGAAGAAAGCAAACACAGTTTCTGTCTTGGAGTCTGCTCGGATTTAGACTCGGGGTATGTTTTATTTTGTTCTGGAAGTCCTATTCTGGATGTTTTATTTTCTCCCTTCTTTGCAAAGACATTACAGAACTAAACCAAAACAGCTGAGCCTGTCAGCGTCCTGGAGAAGCATTTTGCCTGAAACTTGAGTTTTTCCTAATGAAGTGACTTCTCTCTTCCATCTTTTTCCTTTGCTTTTCTCGTAGGTCGTTCGATTGCTCCCTCAGCACGATGGATCTGCATGTCTTCGACTACTCGGAGCCGGGGAACTTCTCGGACATCAGCTGGCCGTGCAACAGCAGCGACTGCATCGTGGTGGACACGGTGATGTGCCCCAACATGCCCAACAAAAGCGTCCTTCTCTACACACTCTCCTTCATCTACATCTTCATCTTCGTCATCGGCATGATTGCCAACTCCGTGGTGGTCTGGGTGAACATCCAGGCCAAGACCACAGGCTACGACACACATTGCTACATCTTGAACCTGGCCATCGCCGACCTGTGGGTTGTCCTCACCATCCCGGTCTGGGTGGTCAGCCTCGTGCAGCACAACCAGTGGCCCATGGGCGAGCTCACGTGCAAGGTCACGCACCTCATCTTCTCCATCAACCTCTTTGGCAGCATCTTCTTCCTCACGTGCATGAGCGTGGACCGCTACCTCTCCATCACCTACTTCACCAACACCTCCAGCAGTAGGAAGAAGATGGTGCGCCGGGTCGTGTGTGTCCTGGTGTGGCTGCTGGCCTTCTGCGTGTCCCTGCCCGACACCTACTACCTGAAGACCATCACGTCTGCGTCCAACAATGAGACCTATTGCCGGTCCTTCTACCCCGAGCACAGCATCAAGGAGTGGCTGATCGGCATGGAGCTGGTCTCCGTCGTCTTGGGCTTCGCAGTTCCCTTCTCCATCATCGCTGTCTTCTACTTCCTGCTGGCCAGAGCCATCTCGGCGTCCGGCGACCAGGAGAAGCACAGTAGCCGGAAGATCATCTTCTCCTACGTGGTGGTCTTCCTCGTCTGCTGGCTGCCCTACCACGTCGCGGTGCTGCTGGACATCTTCTCCATCCTGCACTACATCCCCTTCACCTGCCGGCTGGAGTACGCCCTCTTCACGGCCCTGCACGTCACGCAGTGCCTGTCCCTGGTGCACTGCTGCGTCAACCCTGTCCTCTACAGCTTCATCAATCGTAACTACAGGTACGAGCTGATGAAGGCCTTCATCTTCAAGTACTCAGCCAAAACGGGGCTCACCAAGCTCATCGATGCCTCCAGAGTCTCCGAAACAGAGTACTCTGCCTTGGAGCAGAGCACCAAGTGAGCCGCCCTGCAGAGGTGCTGGGACTGGTGTGCTTGCTTTTGAACAGGCCCTGTGGTTTTCTAGAGCAAAGCAAAGTAGCTTCGGGTCTTGATGCGTGAGTGGCGTGCAGAGGCAGGCACGCATCCCCGTGCATCCGTTCTCTCTTTCTTTTGTCATCGGGGCTGTTGTTTGGCTGTGCGTGCCGACGGTTTGCAACAGGCAGAGCTGCGTCGTGGGCAGTGCTGTGCATGGGAGCCAGCTGAGAACAGGCTTGCCTGGACTTCTGTAAGATAGGACTTTCTGTGTTTCCTGCATCGTTTTTATATGCTGATGTGTATTTAAATGGTAAAACTTTATTTTCTCACTCTTGGTGTACCTTATAAATGTATTTGAAAGTTAAATATATTTTAAATATTGTTTGGGAGGCGTAGCGCTGACGTATATTTGGATTGTTGTAGTTTAAGGTTAGTTTGACTTCAGTTTGGACTAAGGATGACACTAATTGTTAGCTGTTTTGAAATTTTATATATATAAGTATATATAAATATATAAATATATGCCAGTCTTGGCTGAAATGTTTTATTTACCATAGTTTTATATGTGTGTGGTGTTTTGTACCGGCACGGGATGTGGAAAGAAAACTGCTCTGTTGTGCAGTTTGTGACATTAATAGTATTGTAAAGTTACAGTTTAGAAAAAACACAGAAAACTGTCCTGGGCTGCAAATCGGTGCACACAATGAACAATCGCATTTCAAAAATTTCAATTTGTAAGTTATTTTTTTAAATAAAGATTTTTTGTTTCCTAAAAATGCATCCAGTCTCAGGTGTAAAGGTGTGTCTCGGCATTTGGGTAGCATGCGTGGTAATACATAGACACATGCAGCACACACAGGCCAATCGAATGAACATGTTTAGGAAAAGAGAGTGCTGCCGTGAAGCACGAGCCACCAGGCGGACTTGTTCGAAATGATATAAAAAGAAAAACCTTTGTGCATACTGTGTGGGTTTTATTTTTTAATTTTCAGACAATAACAAGTTTGGTGGCGGGGGGATGATTGCTAGGGTGAGCTAGATGGTCATGGAGAGAAGGCTGGCACAGAGAAGGTGCCACTTGCTGTCCAGGCAGGAGAGTTTCGGGGTGTGGGACTGGTGTCCTCATTGGAATCACCTGTGTGCTCTGTGCCTGTGGCACAGCCCCTTGCCTCTCCTCTGCTAAGGTAAACACCTCCAGGGGCGATATTTCCTATTCAGAGTTTTCATTTAAACTGTACCAATCAGCTACCCTCTTGAGGGCACACACTGAGCGAATCCCCAGCATGTGCCTGCCCTTACTAGTGGCTGGAAAGAAAGGGTGCTCTCAGAAAGGCTAGTTCCTGCTGTGCCCTCCCTTAACTCGACCTGGAGCCACAGCCATGGTGGAGACCGGAGATGCCAACAGGCAAGACAGTTGGGCAGAGGCTCAGAGAGGGGCTGGGCTCCTAGCACGGCCCTCACCACCTCCACCTCTGCCAAGACCTCTCTGCCTAGAGAGCTGTTTGCCAACACAAAGGCAGACCCAAGCCAGAAGCTTGTCCCACCTGTGAGTTTGGGGCCTGCTACCAGGTAGGAAGCACCTGTGCATGTCTACACCCCACAGACCCACAGTGGGCAGCCCTGCAGTCCCCAGTGGCCCACAGACTGGGGGCTCCTATTTCCTGCAAAGGGCTTCACAGCCTGGAGTTTTGAAATGAGGGCTGTAACTTACCGGAAATATGTCCTTGATACACTGTACATCCTCAGGTGCACATACACCTGGTCATACTTCAGCGGGATTCTGGTCAGATAATAGGAACGTAGATTGTGGGATAACAGCATACAAATAGGCAAAGATACCAAGAAGAAGGGAAAAGAAGAGAGGGTAGGATGGAAACATAACATTGGGAAAGTTCTTGACCCAAATATGTGTTCCTTGACAGTAAAAATGGATTGCATGTGTGCTGTGAGCCTACTAGGGGTTCAAGTTCAGACAGAAATACACTTTTCCAGTAGTGAATTCAAAGTGAGTGGGGGGCGAGGGGCATCCACTGCAGTCCACATGCTCCGCCTTGCAATAGATGGAACACTAAAAAGGCATTCAACCGAATTGCTATTGTGAGGCCCCATTGCAGTCCATCTAGCGGTCTTCCCCATGCCCTTCCCTAGACTCTCAGTAGGTTCCCAGGGGCTGACAGTGCTGTGGTGGGTGGGGGTCTTTCAGGCTGTCTGTCCACACGGATGTCTGAGGGGTCCACTGCCTGTCGGTTCTACTGCAGGGCTCCTCTGCCACCCCGGTTCATTCGGCTCTTGCTGCTGTTGTTGCCTCGCTGGACCGTGAGACTGGCCCTGGACCTTTTCTGTTTTTCTGCTCCTCTTCAGCCTGGGGGCTGTCCCCGCTGCCTCCTCCCACCCTGCAGTGGAGGAGGTAGGGAGGGAGGGTGATGCTGAACCAGACCCGAACTCACCAGGTGGCACCCTTTGCTTTGGGGGGATTTTTCATCTCCCCCAGGGCCCAGGGCACCGTGCCCTGCTGTCCCAGAATGCTCCAGTGACGGTGTTCTCTCTGTTTCTTCTAGAAATCCCCTCTTTGTCCTGCCTAGGGTTGGAAGACTCGCTGGCTTATTCCCAGTTATCTGGACTCAGAATCTCTTTCCTTTGATTTCCACTGCAGGGTCCTTCCCTGGAGCCAGGTGGGATAATGGAGGCCGGATCAAGAGGCACAGAGGGTCCTGAGGGGAGGAGAGTTAATATTGAAAAAAAAATCCAGCCCCACCCTATGACTGTGGCGCAGAGGAGGCAGGGGATTGTGTGCTTCATGTGGATATGGGGTAGGCCTCAAGGCGAGGAGGCATAGACAGGAGACCCCTGACCATCCTCAAATCCAGGGGCCAGAGGGCCTTCAGTTCTCCCGTTGGAGGGTCATTCTTTGGCATCCTTTTCTCTGGACAGATCTTCCAAGACGCCCGCCTCCCAATGTGGTAAGAAAGCTGTTGGTGCCTTGGCCTTGGACCCCAGGAAGGATGTCTGGAGCCCCAGGCACAGGGTGGAACCTCGGAGTTGGGAGAAAAGCAGCTTTGGCTTTCTTGATGGTGCTTCCTGGAGCCTCCTCCCACCCCAGGGAGAGGGGAACATTTTCCTCTCTATTCCTAATACTCTGCTCCTGTTTCATGGTCGAAATGCCCAAGGCATGGCAGGCAGTGGGCAGTGGAAGGCCACCCCCAGCAGCCTGGATGGCAGCCTGTCGTCGGTGAGTCAGTGTTAAACGCTGTCCATCTGGTTCAGCGTATGAGCCGCTAACCTCGATTGCACCCGCAGTTCCCAGCACGTGAAGAAGAAAAGTAATGCTGCTGGAAAGTAATGCAGATGGAAAATCCTCTGGGCATAAAGGAATACAATCTATTTGCTGGCTGATGGCTTTTGGTCCTTCCAAGGGTCTCACAGCAACCTGGGAGGAGACGCCGCTGATATCTGTGATCAGATCTGGCAGGGCAGCAATACGCTTTAAATCCTCTGTAGCCGACACTTCCTGGGGTCTCTCCAGGAGGCAGCAGCTCCAGGGCATGGTCTCCTTTATTAGGAATATGGAAATTCTGCCTTATTGGGCTTCTTCTCCGAGGACATTGGCTATATATACATCATAGTTCTGGCAGACTTCACAGGTAGGCTAAGCACAGGTATCTCAGGCTTCGGGGGAAATGTGGGGAGCTGAGGACCTGCACTGATGGGATGGCTGATGAGGAGCGTTCCCAGAGCTTCCTCCTGGAGGGATGGGCTTTCACTCCTAAGTGCCAGGGATACCTCTGCATGCGTCTATGTCATTGAGATATTAGGCCTTCAGGGCTGCTGGTTTCAAGCGGGCTAAATGCTTTAAAAGCTGGACCCACTCCTATAAGAACATTTCAGAACATTTCCCACTTCCTGTTTCTCAGTCTTGGATTTCCCAAGAAAAGCTCCCTGGTGGTTTGCATTTATGTAGGGCCCGCTAAGATCCCACAGTCTCAATATCAGTGACATTTGATATGGAACAATATTAGTCTGAATATCTGAATGAGTTCTGATAGGACATTAAATCACTCGTATATGGTTGGGATTTGCCGGGGTTCATTTGTCTGAGGATGGCTGAGGACGGCCTGCCTCTTCCATAAACTCCTCTGGTAGAATAGCAGTTTGCGGACCTCATGCGGTCTCTTATGTGTGCACAGACGTGTGCGCACGCCTGGACTCGCTACCATCTGTGTGACCAACACAGGCTCAAGGACACAGTTTCCATGTGCATGTTTAGGACGATCCTAGTGAGGGCCTGGGTCACAGGGCCGAGATCCCCCTTTTCAAAGCCTCAGGCCTCTGCCAAGTGTATAGCCCAAAGAGCCATCACTGTTTAACTATCCTGGGGAATGTGGGCCAGCTTTTAGCTTTGCTAAACTGTTTCCTTGTTCATAATGTTGGACGATGATAGCACCTGATTCACAGGGCAATCGTGATGATGAAATCACACAGTCTGCAAAATGCACGTCACGGTGCCTGGTGCACACATAGCACATGCTCAGAGAACAGCAGCCATTCCGGCTGCACTCTCTGGACATCGTTTGCATTTTTCTTGAGAAGAAACAACGCATTTCAGAGAAATGGGGCAAGAGAAGATCTGCCTGTGCCTGGCGGGTGAAAAGATGAGGCACATCGATCTCAAACTTATTCTAACGGGGGCAATCTGCACCCCCAGGAGACATTCGCCAATGTCCAGAGACATCTTTAGTTGCCCCAACTTGGGGTGGGGAATGACAGTGTCATCTTGTGAGTCAAGGCCGAGAATGCTACTGAGCAGCCAGTGGTGCACAGGACAGCCCCCAAAGAGAGAATTACTGATGTGGCTTGGCTGTGTCCCCACCCAAATCTTATCTTGAGCTGCGGCTCCCATAATTCCCATGTCTTGTGGGAGGAACCCGGTGGGAGATAATTGAATCATGGGGGTAGTTTCCCCCATATTGTTCTTGTGGTATTGAATAAGTCTCACAAAATCTGATGGTTGCATAAGAGGTTTCCCTTTTTGCTTGGCTCTCCTCTCTTGCCTGCTGCCATGTAAGACTTGCCTTTCACCTTCCACCATGATTGTGAGACCTCCCCAGCCATGTGGAGCTGTGAGTTCAATAAATTCTTTTTCTTTGTAAATTACCCAGTCTCGAGTACGTCTTTATCAGCAGCGTGAAAATAGACTAACACAGTTACTGAGTCCGAAATGTCAACTGAGTGGAGGTGGAGAGACCCTGGCCTAGGATAAAGCCAACTGTTCAGACACACGCCTTCTGGATGCCATTTGCTGCCTGAGGAATTCACTGAGGGTACAAAGGGCACCTGGGGAAAAGCACTGGAGTCCTTAGAGCCACGGCTTCTCCATTGCCTGCCCCTCAACTCAGCAGAACCCTAACAGGCCAGGGCAGTGCAGACAGTCATGCAATGTGGATTCATGCCAGCATCTCCACGGTGCCCGAATATGTTTCAACTACAGGAATTTGGGGCATTTGCCATTTACATAAAAGATGTACTCCTGAAATAGGAACACACACATTAAACATTAGTAGACATTTTAAGTACTCTTGGGAGGTTTTAAATTTTAATTCAATATTTAAAGCATTTTGCCTAAAAAGCTCCAGAAAGAACACAGCAGACAGAGCTGTGGACAGGCTGCATGAGACCGGAGTGATAGATTCAGTTCTGCTTCTTATTAGCTCCACGATGTTAGAAATATTTCTTCTCAGTTTCCTCACCCTTAAAATTACTTCTCTGCCTTCAATAAAGGATTG